CCCCTATAAAATAGCCGCAAAGTTCTCTAAGAGTATGGGATTGTTTTCAAATATCTCCATATCATGTTCGAGTACTCTACCATGAACACTTCCAGAGATATGCAGTATGAAAAATCGGTTTGTATGGGAGGTGCCACTCCCCTTCACTTAGCGGTATGAAACATACTTTGCAATCTATTATCATACCTACCGTATATACACCAAAAATTTCATTCAAATAGGTCAAGCCGTTTCAGAGGAGGTCAACCACAAACACCGTGACACGATATTTTTATATATTAGATTTTTCATAAAAAAATTCTAAAAGAAGAAAATAGAGAAAATTTTTTTAGGATAGGGACACCCTAGTTGCCAAATTCTAGTACTCTATGGTGAACATTGCCAGAGGTATGCAGTATGAAAAATTCGGTTTGTACGGGAGGTGCATCGCCCCCTTTTACGATAACCACAATATTTCTCCATGAGTACGCGATTGCTTTCATATATCTCCATATTATGTTCGACGCCTCTTCCATGAACATCTTCCGGGACATGCAGTATGAAACATTCGGTTTGTATTGGGATCTGCTACGCCCCTTTTTTCTAATAGCCCCAATTTTTCTTCATGACCATGTGATTAATTTCATATATCTCCATACAAAGTTCCAGTACTCTACCACGAACACTTCCAGAGATATGCAGTATAAAAAATTCGGTATGAAATATACTTTACATCCGATCCTCATACCTACCATATATGCACAAAAAATTTCATAAAGATCGGTCAAGCCGTTTAGGAGGAGTTCGACCACTAACACCGTGACACGAGATTTTTATACATTAGATTTTTGACATTTTTGAATACTTAGCAATGAGATCATTTGAATCTTCAGTGATTACATAGTCAAAGAATTCTATACATTTCATTTTAAAATTATTTTTAATTTGAAGCTCACTTTCAACAATTTTAATTAGAAGGCGATTTCTCTTTTTGCGTCAGGAAATAACTATATACTTAAGATCCTTTCAGTTTCTTCGTTTGAGTGTGGTATTGAAAAAAAAAAACTAAATTACATATTTTTTAAAATGTGGAAAAGTACCACTATTTAAGAACTTCATCTGTATTTCCTCATGGCTTAAATTAACTTTTGCAACTACGCTAAAACTTTGAAAGACTACGAATTCGCTGAAAAGAGTATCTAACTTTATGTCTCGTATGCAAAACTCTTTTACAATAGGTTTGTATAGTAACCAGTCAGTACTAATTTGTACTCGAACCTGCAAATTTTTACTGGAAAAGTGTATGATAATCCAAAAAATTTGCAAGAGAGCACTGAATCGAGAGCGTAACAACACGGGAGAGCTGCAAATTCTTGCTAGTGAAATTTTTACTAGCAGAAATTAGCTGGCAGAAGAAGAAGAAGAATAAATGTCAAAAGCCGCCATTTGTTGAATTGGTTTAGCACAAACAAAAGTAAAATGAGTGGAAATCAAAATATTAATGATGTACTAGACTGTGTAAGTGCTTGTGAGTAAAGCAAAGAGTTTAAAACTGATTTATAAATAGTAAAATGTTTACAGCATAATATCAAAAGGGTGCAACAACTATTCACTTGCAAGTTTTTACTAGTTTTGCGTTCAGTAACTTTTTCTGCTAGTTTTCTCTTCTTCTCAATTTTACGCTCTATTTTGCTTTTATGCTCTGGCTGCAATGTTTTACTGGAGAAGTTACTATACAAACCTAATGTCAGTGAATTGTGAAAAAAGGACTGTAAGTTATAGGCAAATTTGTTGTTATTAAACTGAAAGTTATTTTCGAGATATCAAACAACACACGACAAAAAAACGTCAGCCTTCTTTTTGAATAATTTAAGCTCCATCAAATTATCGCAACAGGTACGTAACGACCCGGCGATATGCCCGTAAAAGTTTGATCTTTTTGTTGTATTAATTTCTTGGGCATATCAAATATTGTCTGAAACAAGTCAACTATAGTTAAATTATTTTCTCCTTATTTTCTACAGTATAGTTTAAGGAAGTTCCAACGTTATGTAAAAACCTTAAGAAAATCCTAAAGTATTTTTTTTGAATTGAAAATTCAGTACAAATCAGTACAAATTTTTAAAAATGAGGATATTAGCGTACTGATTGAAGAAATGAATAAAATCAGTACAAGAGTTGAAAAATCAGTACTGTACTGATAAAATCAGTACGTCTGGCAACCGTATGTGGAGGTCATTTCAAATTAGCAAATTTTTGCTGTATGTTTTGGGTGATTTTTCAGCAGAAACTCTAATTTTTCGACTACATCTTGCAAATTTTGTTGAAATATGAACATATACTTTTCCTTACGCATAATGTGTACTAACGGACCAACAATATTTTTGAAATAAATACAACCCCAAACAATTAAGATCCTACCACTGTGATTCACAGTTTGCCGTAGATGATGCGCTTAGGCTTAACCCTCTAACACGTAAGAATGCCTCAAGACATTCATCATATAATTGCAATTAAATAAAAAATTAAGAGTTTTATTGTCAAATGAATCTTTTTTGGGAGTTACTAACAAACGTACCAAAATATTTGCAGAAGCCTTGGCAACTCTCATATGCATTCTAACGGTACTTTTCTTTTGATTTGCAGAGAACATATGTTTTTTCAATGAAAAGTTTTGTATGTTGCTAGTTGAGTTTTGGTGTGGTAATAAAAGTGAAATTAAACAAGTTTTTCTTAGTCATAATTTTTTTCGTCAAAGGTGAGTATATTTACTAAGAATATCCAGTTGCAGATTTGTGAATACGTGCAAATTGTGCGTTGTAGAAGTGAAATAACAATGAGTGCCTTGAGACATTCTTGGGGCTTTGAGCGAACTTTTTTGTAAGCAGTTATTTCACAACTATTTACAATTTTCGTGTTATTCTGCGTTTGTTACAAGACTTTTTTGCATAAAGATTTTAAAAACAAAATAGAAATGGCAGAGGGAGTGCGTAAACGCTACAAGTTATCGGATTTGAGTGATGAACAATTACTGGAATTGCTTGATTCAGTCCAATCGGACGAGGAAATATCAAACACATCAAGTGATGATGAAGAGGACGATTTCGATGTGACAGAAGCGCTAAACGCAGCATTGGATGATGCTGAAACGGTGTCATTCCTAGAAAATACTGTTGAAAATACTCCAAATACTGTACAGCAACATGAACCTGAAGATACAGGATTCACATCATTGACTTATCCTAAGGAAGATCTTGATGTAGCAGAAGTGCTAAGCGCAGCATCACATGCTGGTGAGGCAGTGTCATCGATAGTCAATGCTGTGGAAAATGTTCCAACTACAATACAGCAGCCTGAACCTGTTTGGAAATTGAGAAAGAGACCTCGATCACCATTACCATCAATAGAAGCTACAGCATGCATATCTTCGCCTTCTTCTGGGGGCTTCAATGGTTCTGGTAAGTTTTCATAATTACAAAATACTAAAAAATTACATACTGATTTATATAATATATATAAAGGTATTGATTCGATAACGAAGGATCCGGGAAAAATAATATGGCGAAATCAATCAATGCAGTTACATGTCAATGACATAGCCTTTCGTGGGAATTCATCGCTGCCAGCGGAAATCCTTGAACTTGAAACTCCACTAGAGATATTCTGCTACTTTTTTTGATGGTGATATAATGAATATGATTGTTGAGGAAACATTGCGCGCAGCTTTAGCCGACAACATCGTAAATCAATTTAAAGTGACTGTTGAAGATATGCACAATTACATAGGTATTTTGATGTATATGTCTTTATATCGCTACCCGAACTTGAAAAGCTACTGGGGAAAAAACTCCTTTGCACCCGTTAAAAACTGCATGACCAGAAGCAAATTCGAATCTATAAAGAAATACTTCTCACTGCGTGATGAGAGCAAGCGGATCAAGAAGGGTGAGTGTGGGTACGATCCACTGTATCGCTCGCGTACGCTTGGGGACTTACTTAACCAGAGGTTTGACTCCGTGCCAAAGCAAGCCCGTCTGTGCGTCGATGAACAGATGTGCAGCACAAAAATGAAGCACCACTTGCGGCAATATATGCCCAATAAGCCTCATAAATGGGGTTTAAAGCTATTTGTACTGTGCGATTCTTTTGGCTATGCCTACCGCTTCGAGATTTACAGCGGCGCAGGAGATAACGTAATCTTGCCTGGTCACCCAGATCTTGGTAGTTCGTAGTTTTTTATCACTTGGTGGATATGGCAGAAACAAACGCATATATTTTATACAGACGCATACAAAAAGAAAAAAGTAAAGACAAACTGCTTGAACTCCCAGATTTTCGTGAAGCGATTGCTGCTGGTCTGGTGGCTTTTCAAAAAAAACGTTTGCCAGGTCGCACAAGCCGTGATCCGAGTGATCGGAATATGCTGTCGCCATCTTCTCATCGAACTTTACAGACAAGTCAAACAAGGCAGTCGTCCTCCTTTGAGGGCCTGAAAGCTGGGGAAAAATCAAAGCATCCAATATCGGACCTGCGGTTTGATCAGCTTAACCATTTCCCGGTTTGGATGGATCGGAATAGTGGAAGGAGGTCGTGCAAGTTATATAAAACTTCGCAAACACAGTGCATTTGCACAAAATGCAATTTGCACTTATGCTGCACAGCCAGCAAAAATTGTTTTTTTGACTATCACTCAAAAAAATAAAGCTAACCTTATTAGAACAACATAATAAAAATCTGATTTTTTTAACCCTTAAAACCCCAAGAATGCCTTCAGGCACGCATTCATATATTCTCTTCTTACAAGAAAATTAAAACTTTTACATCATTTCTGAGCTAATATTTGGATTTAGTGGCTAAAAAGCATTTAAGAAAAATATGTTCAACTTTTTTGTATCCATTATTTTAGAAAGTAGTCTTAGAGGGTTAATTTGGGCCTTTGATCCAATACCATGCCCGGCCATCTGATTGAAAACGATTAATTTAGTCTTGTCAGACCAAATAACCTTCATTGAAACTTAAAAATATGTTTTTTATTGCATTCTGAACGGCCTAACATATCCCAATAGGCAACGGTTCGGTTTCCGTGCATGCAGCGAAATGCTGCCACACTCGCACATGTATTATGATCAAATTTGCTTTTTTCTTCTTTATGATGCCTTTACGCTCAATTTGGCAATTCATCGCCTCGCTGTCTATTGATTTGCATTAAAGTTTAATACCTTAAGCGTTTCTGTAATAGTGGCTGCATCGCTACTTGCTGCTAAGTTCACAAGATATCGTACCGTAATATTTTTTAACAGACTTCCTTTGTCCTTGGGAACACTTTATGCTATATTTTTTCTCAGTCTTAACATTTTCAAGTAGCAAATTCCAAA